CGGCGGCAAGTCAGGGGAGTCAACAGCAGGTTGGGGGCCGGAGCCAGCCTGCAGAGCCCCCACCCCTACCCAACAAGTGCACAACCCCAGATCCTCCCTTCCCAGCAGGAGCCACCCTCTGAGGAGCATAGCCCCGGCCCCTCAGGGGAGCCACTGGCTGGGAAGCACTGTCACAGCCCTCTGGGAGGAGCCACCACAGGATCAGCGTCATCCTTGATGCCACAGATGGCCCCGGTAAGCCCCCTTGCACCTCCCAGCCTCCTGTCTAGAGCCCCCAGCCCTGAGTCCTGCACCTCCCACCTGACTTGATTTCTGCACCCCCACCTCCTTCCCCATAAGCCCCCCACAGGATCAGCGTCATCCTTGATGCCACAGATGGCCCCGGTAAGCCCCCTTGCATCTCCCAGCCTCCTGTCTAGAGCCCCCAGCCCTGAGTCCTGCACCTCCCACCTGACTTGATTTCTGCACCCCCACCTCCTTCCCTATAAGCCCCCCTCTCTTCCCCTGCCCTGAGGCCTCACCCTCTGCCTTGAGCCCCCCACCTCCCAACCCTCTGCCCTAAGCTTCTCCTTACCCCGGAAAATAAGCCCTTTCAAGTAGGAATAAGAGATCCTCCGGAAAAGGGCTTATTTTCCGGAGAATCACGTCTAGACTGGCGCTTTTCTCCGGCTTATCCCCAAGCCGGAAAAAAGCGGCAGCCATGTAAATGCAAATGCCGCGGAGGATATTTAAATCCCCCGCGGAATTTGCAATTGCGATGTGTCTCATTAGCATCCCTTTTCTGGAAAGGGATGCCAATGTAGACACAGCCAGGCTGTAATGCATACAGAAATAACTAACAGCAGTCACTGAAAACAAAGGCTTGAGTTCATGGTCTCCCGGCTCCCATCTGAGTGCAGCTTAGTGCTAGCCTACAGGATATTTTTATTTTAGGAGTTACCTAGAGTGATTTTTGAATAGGTCTCAGAGTGCTTTACAGTGGTGAGTAAGTATCATCCCTATTTGGTTTGGTGATTGGGAAACTGGCACAGAAAATGTAAGTGACTTGGGGGCCAAACTGGGAGGGGAGTCCCAACCAGTGTTTCCTGTAAGCTGAGTTCTTGGGCAGCCAACCAGAAGAAATTCAAGTGCCACCCCACTGATTAGCAGAGTGCTCACAGCCAGCAGCATGTGTTTCTACTGGTGGTGCACATCCACACACATGATGGTGAATATAATTTCTACTGGTGATGCACATCCACACACACGACGGTGAATATAACAACATTTATTCTGCACATGCATGAAAAAAATTAGAGGGAACATTGGTCCCAAAATATTTAAATGTTCATTTAAAAAAAAGTATTAATGGTGAGCAAGACAAGATATTGCTGACATACTAACAATGAATCATATTATTTGATTTATTCCATCACCAATAAGCCCTAGTCATTGATCAGGACCTCATTGTGCTAGGGGTGGAACAAACACAGATCTAAACAGTACCCCTGCCCCAAAGAGCTTATAATAAATGTAAAAATCTGATAGATGCACATGTGAAAGTTTTGTTTTAAAGCAACAGTTATAAGTATTGTTCAATGTACCCACATTATGACAGTATTGGCAACACATTGATCACTCTGCCTTTTGTATTTAATTAAGATAGCTCTTTTATATACTCATGGCAGTAAATTACTTAGAAATATTTATACAGCTAAGGGAGGCCCTATAAAAAAGCCAGAATTCTGTACATTGTGTGGGAATTGATGACTCATTAAGATGATGGTACAAGGTATATTATTGAATTGTGCCTTCTTGTCATCTGCTGCATTTGTAGCTGTCTTTCTTCCCTGACATTGTTTTTCCAAATATTGTAGATTTACAGACTTTTCCACACAGATAGTGTTCAAAAATTGCTAGTATAGAGTCACATATCTCTTCTTATCATCTTGTTACAGAAGATACCCTCTCCCTCCCCCCTTTCCCCCCGTAGTCACATATCTCTTCTTATCATCTTGTTATAGAAGATACCCTCTCCCTCCCGCCTTTTCCCCCATGATGTGTTACTGGAAGCTCCTTAAATCTAGGCAGGAAGACTTAATGAAGAAATACATAATTATAGGAGCTTAATTGATCATGACTTCACTTCTGCAATGCATGAGCATTCATGCAGTCCTACT